CCTATTCATCATGATATCAGGTTGTGGATAAGCTTATTGATGGAGCCAATCGATTGGGTGGGGATATACGTATCAGATCCCTTTTAGAGGCTATTGATGGGCATGGACGGACCCCAGCGGACCTTGCTTCTGCATGGGGATGGACTGAGATGTTATTCATGAGGGTATGCACCAACATGATGATGACTATGATGCTAGGTGTGAATATCTACACAATCGTATGGGTCATCAACATATCGAGAGTACCCCTATAGAGTACGATTCATCCAAGCTAGTAGTTGAAGATGGTAGAGTACATTGGGAGGAGGGGGACTACCTTACTATGAACAGGCCTGTGATGATGACTATGATGAGTATCTCGGTGATGCAATAGCGGTATCATTGATAGGTTATCCTTCGATCACTCTTAGCGGACTTTGTGTGGGATGGGGGTTTCAAGTCGATACCAAACACTCTCCTTGCCCAGCGACTGGCGGTATCACAGATTCCTTATGGGGGAATCTTGGGGTATAAATGCTTTAACTGGGACTTGAACCTGCGACCTCTTACCTCAGACATCGACAAGAGAGTTTACTCTTATCAGAATATCTCCTTAGATACGCCAGTGTTGATTCATCTAGTGAGGTGAGCTCGGATGATGTTCGATCCTTGGATATGATGATGACATTTCAGGCTGCTGCCCCATTATATGCTTTCGACGCGACTCTTGGCCATAAGCATCCCCTCATCAGATACTATGGGGAAGCTCTCCTATCATTATTAGGAGGGAATAACGTTGCTTATGCTAGATATCCCCAATTTGGTATTGGACCACGTAGGGCTGGATCCCAGATGCATACCCATCATGCTGCCCTTAATGTACTCTCATCATCATCATACCCTACACCATCATACCCTCTCTTCAGCTCCTCCTCTGTGGTCGTAAGCGATGGCTTCTACTACCATCCCGATACGCCTTCTGGTCACATAAACCATCATTTACTCAATGGGAGAATTGGCGTAATCTACCTAACGTTATCGAGATTGAACAACTACCAGGTAAGTGTCTCTATCCTCCCTATCCTTCATTAATCTTTAGGTGATGTACTATACATACCAGAGTTCTGGGGGCACGCTACACTCATACAGGATGATGATACAGCCACTGTGGCTATTGTAGGCTTTAACCTCTCTCTCCACTTCCTCACTATCATCCTTTTATCAGGAATTTATACCCTCACAAAGTGTTCATGCTTGATCGTTTCTGATCGTATCACAGTGTGTTGTTCCTATCAGCTGTCAATGATGAGACCAGCAGCAGCAGCAGGTAGCTGACCTATGTTCACGTGGGAAACATCCTGAGTGACGACCCATGAAGCTGGGGCTTGTCGGAACACAGACACTGACAGGTTACTAACAGGTTTTGACACAATGCCCCCAATCGGCGGAAGAGATGACCATCGAGTCTGTACCATAGGGAGAGAATATACGTGGTAGCCCATGATACCATGATGGACCAGTACACAGTACGCGGGTATTACACGCATAGAGTGGATCACACGCATGAGGAGTTCTCAATGCCGACTGCCAACTCGATCAGGGTTTTCCGACATGAGGATGTGTACCCAATGGGTCGTTGTGTTATGATAGTTGGCGGGTTACATGGAACTCAGCGTGATAGGTGTAGATGAGAGCGGGGATGCTGCTGTGCTATGTGGAGAGTTCTTAGCCGATGGATCGGAGTTTGATAGTTGGTGTCTGCGGCCAAGAGGGAATCCAGACGAACGATAGGACGAGAAAATCACCATCTATTTAAGGGTGGGCTTGTTATCGGATCGTTAATATTGATGACGATGGGGACTCCAAGTAGCCTCCGTTAGTAGAGAGAGACCAAGGGAGAATTATGGAAACAAAAGTTACCCGATGCAGGATTCGAACCTACGACCATCTGCTCCGTAGGCAGACATTCTATCCAGCTGAACTAATCGGGCTCTAATTAAAAGTACTAGAGAGCATATTGAATCGGAACTTGAGCAACTGCTACGTACTACATCACACGAGCATATGCATCTCCGTCTAGAGTAGTATACCTCCCTCTCGGGCGAAATCATCCGACCATCCTCCAACTCCTGTGCAATCATTATGGCCTATTGTTCCCAGCACTTCTCTGATTTACCTCAGAGGTATCTGACAGGGATATTGTTAGTATTGATCCATTCATATGATCGTAAGGCCGCCTGCTCTCGAGGGCAGGCAGTTCGACCTGGCTCCACATGGAAGACCTGCCTGAGCGGGGCTCGATAGGAATCGATTAGGTGATTATATAGTGAGAATCACATCAGGGTGAACACTGCTCCCAACCAGTGGAGGCTGGTAAAGACTAAACTATGGATATAACCTGTCGTTACATTAGGGTGTTAGGGTCAGGGCATCTATTCTTCGTTTCTCTCCCTGCATCCACCAACCCACTATATGTGATGGGCTTTTTTCATTTCAATGGCATTCTCCTTCTTCCCTTGTGATGGTAGTACACATACATCGCATTCAAGGTTGCTGGGGCTGTCCATGTCTCGATGAACGCAACGGGAAGGTATCCTCTCGCATGTTCGATTATGCGTCGATCATGGCGACGTGCTAAAACGTCACGCGTACTTGTGACGTTTTAACACACTTATTCGAATGAACGATTATGCTTTAGAAGACCACCATCGGGAGTCTTATAACTATGTCTACTCCATCGTCTTCCTCCTCCTCTTCATCATCATCCTCCGTTTCTTCTTCTTCTTCTCCTCCTCCTCATCCTACCCGTCGAAGGAAGAGGCCAGTATCAGAGGTTGATGGTATCAGTGAAACAGCTATTGCACGACGATTGGGTAGGAGGTTAAGGAGTATGACACAACTATTAAGGGAGGATACACCACAGGCTAGTGCTATCCTTACTACTGGTCTATCTACTATTACTAGTAGGAGTAAGCAACAGCACCAGTCTAATAAGAATGAGGAACAACAACAACATACTACCAATATTGGAGATATTATAAAGAGTGCGGGGGCTACTACATTGGATGAGGTTGTTGATGATAATAGTGATGATGAGAATGATGATGATGGAGATATGGCTGGTTTATTACCTTATATTGATAATAATATAGGGTCTAGTACACAGGTAGATCGTAGTCGTGGTAATACTACTACCTCAAACCTCCCACAATTACGATTTGATGAGAGTGGTAATATAGTATTGGTTGATGATGAAGGAGCTGGTAATAGAGGACAAGAGGATAATACTAATAATACTATAGGGGATAATAGTCTAAGACTAATGCATACTAGGGTAATCTAGTTATAGTTATCATCATATACCCTTGTCTTTAGGATGAATCTGGACAGAATAACTATAAGTATGCTTATAAGAAGTCTATAGGGGGTAAATGGTCCAAGGATGATACTAACCTCTTCTATAAAGGGATTGAAATGTACTACCATCTATATCAGCATCATCATGATAAAGTTATTATTATTATCAGGTATGGTCCTGATCTAATGCTTATATCAACAGTGTTTGGTTCTACAAAGACTCCTGCACAATTACGTCAAAAGTTGAAGGTAGAAGGTAAAAGGAATCCTAATAGGCTTAACAAGGCCCTAGAGTCTAGGAAGACCATAAGCTTGTAATAATAAGACTAGTGTATAGAGTGTAGCTATTGATGATGTCATTAGGCAAGAGTTTGAGAAGGCACATGGTCCAATAGATGGTATTGATGATGATAATGGAGGAGGAAGAGGAAGAGGAGGGGTTGCTGGATTTGATTACCAAGCTGATCTTGTTCGGATACTTGATGGTATCGATTGAATAGGATGTTGTTGTCGCTGTCGTCTATTATAAGACCATTATTATCATGGAAAGGGGTGGAGGAGGAGGAGGACCCTTCAACAATACCAATAACCAGCAACAGGGTATAATAACGTTTTAGTACAATACTACACCAAATACAGTATCATTATCATCATATACTTGTGTTCATACTAATTATGTCGGTGAGAATCGATAATCTGGTATATTGCTAAGGATGATGCTCAACTTTTTACCATCACCAAAGTATTGTATAATAGATAGGTGAGGCCTCGATAAGGTGGTTTATATACAGAGTATCATGATTATTATGACGGATGATAATAACAGGTGTTCTGACGTCCAAGAAGGAGAAGTCCGGAATCTAAGGGTGTCGAATTAATGCCAATGATGATGATGATATCGGGGTAGTTATGATATCCCTCAGACCTATCCAAGGAAGGGTACAAGTAATATTGTATAAGTAGATGCGTACTGGGAAGATAGAACTGGGACTGGGTAATAATAAGGCTATTATTAATAATAAGATGCAGAAGAAGAGTGGAATATGCTTATACATCATCAACATCATCATACGAAGTGGAATCATTATACAGGCTAGGGGCTAAGTATAATTGAATATACTCGTACTACATGAATAGTATTATTGTGTTATTACTGTGTAGTGGTGGTATAAGGGTATAGGGTTGTATAATATATGGTCAATAACCATGATGATGATTCTATGCTAAGGGTACCTAATAATTCTAAAGATGCTATTGAGTATATACTTAATAGTAAGGATATTGATACTATATTAGGGAAGACATCATCTACACGTCGTACTAACTTCAGAAGACTAGCCTTATTAGTAGTAGAACAAGTGACGATGGTGTGGTATGATGATAATGTAGATAATAGGTGCATCCAGATAAGTGTAAAGATGACGATAAAGCAACAGATGCCTTTAGACGCTTAGTAGATATAATGGAAGAGGAAGGGGAGGATAATGATGATGATAATAAGGAGGAAGGATATACTACATGGAGGTAGTAGTAGTAGTAGGATTGGTGGAATAGGATATTGATCCTTGAGGTGGTGGGAGGCATCTACATTTGAGGAGAGGGAGAGATTATGGTCTAATCTAGAGGAGGCATTTACCAGGGAGATGAGGATGGCTAGAGATAAAGATGAGGAAAGGAGACGATTAAGAATAGAAAGGAAGAGACAAGTAGTAGTAGTGCTGCACCGTAATCGCGATATATAGCTCCTCCGCAATTAGTATTAATATAATAGAGAATTCCCGAGTGAAGAGTTGTTAAGAACTCCTCCTCCTCTTCCTCCTGTTCTTCTTCTTCTGTGTGATGATACATTTATCCTTCATTTAGCATGCTCAAGCGGAACGTGCTGCTGTTGATACCACCGACCCCTACTTTAAAGCTGCTGCGAAAGCTGAGGTTAACAGTTTTGATAGGCGAACTGCAGGATGGAGGGCATTTAATAGGAAGAAGAGGAAGAAGAACTGTAGATAATGTATCATACTATTGTGTTGTTGTTGTTGTTGATTATAATAAGGGAATACGATTACATAGACCTTAGTATGATCATGCCACCTACTCCATATGATGATAATCCTCTATGGGGCTGTCATTTAGCATTAGCTGAATATACAGAGGCAGGAGAATGGGCTCAACTATTAAGGACAATCAATGAGGGAGATCACCGAGGAGCCACTACTACATAGTACTACTACTACAATCCTCTCCATCATCATCATCATCCTGTTGATGATGTTAGTATTACCTTCCTAGTATCTCTAAGGGATCTATTAAGACGATATAAGGATGATATACTAAAGGAATGGTATAGGGCAGTTACCACTACATTAGATTGCCATAATCTTCATATACAGTATTTATCTACCCTCCTAGATGAGGTAATAGTGATGATGATGGTAGTAGTATTATGTGGTACCCCTTCCCCTCTACCTTGTTAGATCATAGAAGGGATATCATCCTTATCCATTACTTCAATAGAATATTTAAGATTGCCAGTAGTAGCTAAGGTATTCCTTAATCAAGTTGAGAATAGTACTACCTCCGACACTCTACCTCCTATTAAGAGGGCTAGGAAGATAGTAATAAGCATGGTCGTAGTAGTAGTAGTAGATGCCTTTTGTAGTTACGTTTACTACCACCTACTGCATCACGTATCATGAATAGTAGTATAATGAGTAGTAGTAGGAGAAGAGCCTCTACCGGCAATAGGAGGATAAGGAGGATGAGGAGGAGGAGGTCTATGTCGTGAGTATCCTCCTCCTACTACTACCTCTCCTTATTACTAACACCATCAGATTGTCACCCTACACCAATAGAGACACTACTGTAGGGTATCTGAGGGACAGTAGATCTGATGTTGATGATGATGTTGATGAGTTAACCCTACCCTATGAAGAGGATATTATAACTATGCCAGGGGGTTCCTCTACATTAAGGAGGGCCTCTACTGGATCTGTAGATCCTCATTCAATACAAGGGGATGAGGTAGAGGAGGAAGAGGAAGAAGGGCCTAGTAAATGGATAGAAGGGGCAAGAGGACTTGGTGGATCCGATATAGGTGTATTATCGTTAGGATATGCTGTTGGCATATGTGTGAGGTAATAGGTAGTAGTAATGAGGAGGAGGATAAAGAAGAAGAGTGTATGGGTAGATACCTTAGTACCTCATTGAAGAGCACAGTAGAAGCACTACACTCCATATCATCTAAAGACCTGGTAATAGGGATATCTCCTACTACTACTACTATCCTACCCTTAGCAAACCTACTTGATGTCTATTAATGATGATCTCCTTCTCCATCAAGGAGGTCATCATCAGGACTACTGGTCTACTATAGCTAAGAGTGGTAGGGAGTTGAAGGAGGTAATATAGTCCATGCTAGTAGAAGGGGGTGTTGTTGTTATGGTATCAGGGACATCGACGTGATGTTGTTATTGGAAATGGTGTAGGAGTTGCTCATAGAGTTGATAATGATTGTGATATTAATGGTGATGTACTGATGGGTAGTGTAGGGGTAGAAGGAGAAGTAGGAGGAGGTAGTAGTAGTAGTTGCTCCTCTCCTGTTAACTACACAGTATGGAAGGATATTAGTATTAGTGATAGTGGTGGTGGATGCTGGCTGTTTGAGGTCTATTGTGATACTATCCTTGAGGATATTAGATCTAAGTGGTTATCTCTATTGCGTACTACTAGTATGGATTCTAGTGTAGAAGGGGTTGATCGAGTCCTCATAGGTAGTAATAGTAGTACTATTCCTTTTACTAATCCCTTATGACAGGTATGTATGAGGTAGTAAGTAGTAGCAAGAATACACCAATACGTAGAGTAGCAGAGGAGTTGACTACTAATGATCATCATCCCTGTCCGACTACCTCATCTATATGGTCGGCTTTGGATCGTATATTAGACCTTTATAAAGATGATGATGGTCATGATTATGTATTAAGTAGAGTATGTAGGATGAATCTCTATTGGTGGTGGTCGCAACTAATATATCATGTACATAGAGAACGATATCATACTACTACCACTCTATCATCATTATCATCACTACGTCTACCATCTAATAGATCTAACCTCAATGATCTTGATAGTGTACTACCTAGTGACTGTCTATTCACCTTTCCTAATGGTAGATTGAATATAGACTCTTGTACTCAAGTACCGCAACTAGCCCTTATAATAGGACGTTATCGTATTATACGTTATGTTGGATGTGGTGGCTTTGCTAGAGGCTTTATAGGTATTGATAATGATCCACAATCATTATATGATCCTGTTGATGTATTTATTAAGATATTCTATTCTTCAAAGGATTCTCCTATGGGTACACGTCCAAATGATAATGAGATCATGTATCGTATTAATGAGGTAGAGAAGGAGTTAACATTATCAGAAAGGCTATTACAGTGTGCACCTAGATTAATGAATAGTGAGTGCTTTGTAAGGATCTTAGCTGTACATAGAGGAGTTAAAATGGAATGCCCTCTAAATAATAATACACAAGGTAGGGTATCAGCAGTCATTACTGAATTATGTTATGGTGGTAATCTTAAAGAGATCATGGATAGACATAATACCACACCATTCTCAACTCATGTTCGATCATGTATTGCCAGAGATCTACGCTCCCTCATACAGTGTCTATATGGATCAGGTAATAGTAATACCTAATATATCATTGTTGATTATTACATAGATGATATTAACGATCGTTATTATCATGGTGATATAAAATGTGATAATCTATTGGTTGGACGACGTGAACCACGTTGTAATGGTCGTATAAAGTTGGCAGATTATGGTAGTATAATACGTTTAACATCATTAGAAGCACCTAAGAAGTATGAACACTCTACGCATGAATATGTGTAGGTTAACATTCTTCTTCTTGTTGTTGTGATATTATTATATCTCGTAGACATCCTAATGGTCCTAGTATATACCCTATGGTGGTTGATGTATGGAGTGTTGCATTGGTCCTACTTATCATACATGTCCATGCTTATGGTCCTACTTTTAATGATATTGTAGATATAATACGTAAACACCAAAAGGTAGTGGTATTAGAGTGGTAGTGTTGTGTATATATTATCAGGTACATTGGGGTGCATTATTAGCACTTGTACATGGAGAAGAGAAGAATATCCTAAGCCCTCTATTAATGAACTTGATAGATATATCATTCGATATAAGAGATGATATCAATGACTTTATCAATCATCCATACTTTTTAAAGGAGGTTTTACCATCAATCACTGATCATGGTGATGTTGATATGATACAGCATCAGCATTATCATGCCTCTATACCAGCAGATCTACTTCAACATCCCTTACCATCATGGCCTATGCTTAATCTTAGAGCATTATCTAAGGTACCTGCATTTGGGGTAATGAGGAGGACTTTGATGGAGGTAGTTAATAATAATACTATATGGGATATAGTTGGTATATATCCTGATGATAGTAGGATAGATTTAGATCTTAAATTGGATGATAATAGTATAGTAAGGTAAGAAGAAAGGCAGCAATGAATAGGGCTTATTATAATAATAGTAGTACTAGGTTCAATGCTAATATGGTACAGCGCGAAGATGATTTTTGGTGGATGTGGATAGAAAGTAATGATGATGATGATGACCATGATATAGTATGGGTGAATAACCCCATATATATTGATTTTCTAAGGAAACTCCTTATGGTACTTTATTCATAGTAAAAGGATGCTGTCGTGTTGATATCATTATTATTACAGTGCTGCTGCTGCTGCTGTAGTAGTAGTATGGTACTCAATGATAACCCTAACGATAATAACATCAATGCTTTCTTCTTCTTCTTACCTTCTATCCTGACTACTCATCACCAATCTACCACTCCTAGCACTATAATCCATAATCTTCGTAGGACATGATAGCCAAACGAGTAGGTGGTAGTAGTAGTAATGATGCTATTGATACTAATACACTACACACTATCATTGTTATGGAGATGATGATGCAGTGTTCGAGTAAAGTGCTTGATGGAGTATAGTATCGATATTATGTTTAGGAAAGGTGATGATAGATAGATCATTGAAAGCAGATACACATGGTGATGTAGTACTAATGATAGGTATTTCATCGACTAACCCCTCGAGTTTAGTATAACCATCAGGCTTAGCTAATAGATAGGATGCAAAACTATTACCAATAAGGATAACATTAGATAACACATCATCATGTTGACATAATATTGATACATATAGACTCCTATCACAATGTGGCATGAATAGCAGCAGCTGCATAGTACTACTACTACACCTGTGAGAGGATGATGATGATGAGGGTGTCGTAGTAGTAAAACCAAATGCATGAGATATACGATTGTCACCATCATCCATACATGGATCACTAATAGTAACTTCCTCTATACCCAACTCCCTCTTTAATGCTACTACCAATGCGAATTGGTATAATGATGGTATAGAATTATGAATCGAACCAATACCATAACATTCTATACTCTCAATAATAGTGATAGTATTCATGATATTAGACCATAAATCGCTACATTTAATATCAAGTATACATTCCTCTACCCTCCTTATCCAATACTCCACCTCCTTATTCGTCATCATTATATTCCTATCATCATGTACACCTTTGCCAGACATAACAGCTAATGATGCTGTACTTGTACGTACTATCCTCCTGTTGGCTCTCCTGTTCTTACTTAATGTAACAGTAGTCCATCCATCATCAGCAACATCACAAGCAGTAGAAGTCATCATCATAGTAAGACACTGTAAGAGAGGAGTATCACTGTGGCGAGCGCTAGTGACGTCGAGTTCCCGGGGATTTGATAAATTATAGAGACACAAGTGATGATAATCTCAATAACTGGCGTCCTCTTTATTTTGTACTTGTTGTTAATGATGATAACTACATGATGATGATGTTATCCCAGACCTGTACGTACCTTGTTATTGATGATATCATTAATATCATGTTGAATGATTATATGATGATATTAGACTCAAAGGATTGGGCTAATGTTATGATGGTTAATAGATCTATGAGGTGCATTATGGATACTCCTGCTGGTGAGTACTCCTCAGTATTGTACTCTCATCCTCAATTCATACTCCTATTGTTCAGTATGGTATGGTATGGCAATACAATCCAGGGATATAACGATACTTGAAGGAAGCATTCGAGAGGGATTTGCCCATACTAAATGGATATTCGATTGGAAAGGCTATCTAATACATGTCTCATTGTATAGGAGGAATAAGATGATGATGAGGATATGGGTACTACAACATAGATAAATGGTGATACTATCTCGTAATAGGTACATTTGTGTAATACTCTTGCTGTTGCTATATACCTTCCTACTACATCTAATTATTATGATGATGTTATTACTCAACTCCTACTCATACCATCAGGTAGTAGATTACGTCATATTACATCGATACGTGAACCCTTCACTAGACCAGGTAATAATAATAGCATTGTGTATGATTATGATGATGTTGGTGTTAGGTCCTGTAGTAGTGGTAGAGGATATTGTACCAGACATCCATCTACTATTAGAACTACCTCTAGATACTACTACTAGTACGGTATGGATGTTACCACCACATTATCATACATCACATGAGTGTATGATGGTACTACCCTCACATAGAGAGGAGGAGGAGGAGGCTGACCATAATCATCATATCATATCTGGTCATAGTACTTGGTTGGTCGGTATTGATGTGATAATAGATATGAGGTCATCATCATCATCATCCTATTGTTATTATCAATACCAACGTGAATGGATAATATTAGATAGATATGATACATTAGCTCACCTTAGAGATAAGATACTTCATATGATATCGAGTACTATCACATACCCCTCACATCTACTACAACAACCACTACCACTCATTACTAATCTTATCTTAGCACCGGTACTTCTTGCCGGCTTACCACCACCATCAACTACAGACGTACATCACCATCTACTGGCAGTAGTAGGTGATAAGGATAGTATGATAAGGATTGACGACGATAATAATGGACAGTTAAAGCTGATGGATGATCTTAAATGGACATCATCAGAGATATTACAATTGGTTATATTAGATAATAACGATCATCATCATCATAATACAACAGCGGTTATATATCGTGATTATGCTGCTACTCTTGGTATTATGTCTATCGATAATGATATAACATTAGATAAAGAAGTAGTTGATGGTGAGTATGGTGGTGGTGGTAGTATGTTATGGGATAGAGTTAAAGATCATAATGATATCAAGGATAATAGTAAGGATGATTATAATCATAATAATACCACCATAGACTATGATATCTCTTGGTGTAATGATAATAATGGAGTGGATGATGATGATGATGATGATGATGATGATGATGATGATGATGATGATGATGATGATGATGATGAAGTGATGAATAGTAGTGATGATGATGATGATGATGATGGTAGTAGTATTCCTAGTGAAGGCTCATTACTACAAGGCTTACTACATAACTATATATCTAATGGTATCCATCAACACAGCCAGCTTCCTGGGCATAGATTCCTTACCAGTGATGATGATGCTGGTAGTAGTAGTAGCCTAAGATGGGAGGATGAGGAGGAGAGTTATGGAGCATCGATATATGAAGATCGACATAGATCTCTTGTTATTACACCAATAAAAAAGAAGATATTATTATCAAGCAAAGATACTCGTCAATTCGAGTTCCATCCTACATATAATAATATCCTACTTACTGGACATAGATCGGGTCATATAAGTATAATAGATACAGATGATGATAAATGTATAGAAAGAGTTAAAGCTGATGATAGTCCTATATTAGCTCTTACTTGGTTCAATCATCAACCTAATATAGCCCTATATGGTGCATCTCCTAGTGGTCACATTGGTTATCTTAAATTCAACAACAACAACAACATCAGTACTGATGATGATGATAGTGGTGGTGGTGGTGTTATTAGACAGTATAGGAGTTGCTCCTCCTCCTCCTCTTCCACGTCGTCAACATTTAATAATCTGAGTTCGATATCGATTAACTGTACAGATGATTACTTTATGACTAGTGGCTTTGTACCAGATGTAGCACTATTCGATGCAGCTACTGGTAGTCTTATTAATATATTACCAGATATACATTCACACTTCATCAATATACTACGATTCACCAATCATAATCCTCATCTATTTGCTACTAGCTCATTTGATCATACTTGTAAGGTATGGGATCTCAGACTACCTACTACTTCAACAACAAGAAGAAGAAGTACTCCGGTATTCACAGCATATACACAATGCTTGAATGTTATGTGTACTTTCAATGCGGATGATACACATCTACTATGCTCGGGATTAGATGATCAACTACTACAATTCGATCTAAGGAGGCAGCTCCCTTCCTCTTCCTCGTTGTTAAGGATGGATATTAAAGCCCTACATTCACGTACTAACTATAGACGTAGTGTTTATCTAGCTGATGGTAATCATTTAATAACTGCTGGTACTGATGAAAACTACTATACACTTATGAATATGCATAATGGGAGGAATAAGGGTAATAGTAGTAGTAACAACAACAAGACTAATGTGATGATGACGATCAGGTATAATACATCTATCCGGTTTATTATCAATACCTCCTAGGAGACCACCACTATCAGCAAGTGGTACTAGTAGTAGTTATAATACTCGATGTATCCTTGACTCTACGTCATCATCATCATCATCCTTATCCTACTACTATCGGAATACCACACCTTATCGAATATTAACTAGAATGCTCAACAGGATGAGTATCATTACAACTAGGGTGAGAATAACAAGCCTATATCGTCCTCCTGTTCCTCCTTCTCTCTCATCCCTTTCATCATTATCAGCCTTCCCCGCCGCCTCAATCTACAATACCACCCAACGTGTCAATGCTTACTGCACCTGTGGTAAGTAGTACAACAACATCAGCATCAACATCATTATTATTAACACCGCATCGCTGTTCCTCTATAGCGTTCCTATCATGGTTACCCTCGACATGATGATGAAGATGATATTCAGAGGGATGGTAGCTCAATAGCATCATCATCATCAGCAGGAGGAGGAGGAGGAGATAGCAGTATGGATGATACATTACTTGAATATCATCATGATGATGATAACACAGAGGACAGTCATAGCGACACGGATATTAAGAGTAGCACTATTATCATCATTATGGTGATGATGATTATGATTATGATCCTTTACTATAGGTGAGTATGTCCAATCAGTCCGTGGACATCCAATTCATCCGACTACCATTGGAGTACTACTATCACCATATAATAGAATAGGGGATAGTTATGTAGCCCTTACAACATTAGATAGGACTGTACTACTACTCGACGAAGACGAAGACGACCAATGAAGATATCCTCTATCCTTTATAAAGTAGTAATACTAACTGTACTTGGATACCGACATTGGATATTGCTTCTGCAATAACAAGAACAGCTTCATCATCATCATTATCACTGCCTCCTCCTTCATTATTGGTGTTATCATCTATTATCATGTTATTGAGTTGTCCTACTCCTCCTTGATATGAACACATCTTAGTCTAACATCCTATGAATACTACCCGAACAGAATCAGATATATCAGACCCGACACGGGAGGAGATGTTATGCAAGATAATACGGAGGAGCTTTGATCTCTTCGATAAGCTTGGTACGGGCACTGTTGTACCTGAGTAATAATAGTATTATAATAAAAATGTAATGGTTATAATAATTGTGATGGTAGGGAGATTGGTACGATAATGCGGTATCTTGGCCAATTCCCTACGGAGACTGAATTAGTTGAGGTTGTTATTAGAGAGTTGAAGGATAATGCTGTAATACTACTGATGATGAGGATGTGTGAGCAGTATCAGCAGCATGGACTACGGTTTTAGACCACTGACAACACTACTACTGGCAGCAGCAAACAGTCCAATAACAACAACATTACCAAATCCACTCCTATTGCTTATCATCATTTTGAGAAGGTCATGCTGAGATGCCTTAAGGAGCACGAATATGATCCTGATGATAGCGAAACCCTCCTAGAGGCATTTCAGTAGGATCAGGCTATTCATCATCATCATCATTATTGTTGTTTACCATTTACAGTGTACTAGACCCCGACCGTAAAGGATGGGTTGATACAAATCAGATGAGGGATTACCTGGGATCAGGTCATACTGGATTTAGGGAAAAGGTAACAACAATAACAGCAGAAGAGGACGAGTTGACGCTTATCAGGAAATGTCGGAATTCATTCAATTTGCTCGAGATGGTGGAGATGATAGAGATCCTAAGTAAGATAGTGTATCAACCAATAGTACTCTCATTATTCAGCAATCTACGATTATATTATGAAGATTACGTTGCTCAGTTGACGACTGATGTCGAACATCATGTTCATACTTTATACCATAATATACCCAATAGATAATGTGGGCATTATGCCTCTAGGTGTTATATCAACTGATTGTGTTGCGTAACTAGTAGGAGGCACATACTCCCTAACCTCATCACGTTGATAATGTACAAAACAGTTGCATGAGTGTCCTCCACTAGGAGGGTGTTGAGGGCGTAATTCCCGACCAGTGGCCTAACTGTGTGTAACTCAATACTTTTGTGGTTGTGGTGATGATATGATTAGTATTCTGAACATGCAATATTGGAGGATATCAAGACTCCTCAGTAGTAGATGATACCGGGTTATGAAAAGATGTGGTCTGTCGACGAGAAGAGTCAATAGTAGAGTTGGGCCCAATCCCACCACAGTTGGGTTGCTTAAAGAATGTAGTCCGACGACGTCTAGCTTTAGTGAATGGTGATGAGGAGGAGTCCCACCATTGACGGAATATATTCTCACTATTCTTACAGAACCCATCAGTAGCATCATGATGATCCTCATGATGATGATGATGGTGGTATTCTTGACTACCACACTGAAAGGGTAACCACCTTAGAGGGGGAGTATAGCAGCAGTAATACTAACCATGTCCTCGTCATTATCATCACTAGGTAAGGCTGATGTACTCTGAGAATGTTGTTGATTCCCCATCCTCGTCGATGAATTATGATGATGTCTACTACGAGAGGGCCACTCTCTTGGACGGGATGATGAGAACACTTCCGACATCCTATATAGATCATCATCATTACCGAGGCATCATAGTGAGGATAATGACTACTACCTTGATTTGAGACAAGCCGCCGTGAAACCAGATTGTCTTCTTCTTCTTACTCCATCATCCTTCCTCCTTTGAGGGGCCTCTTCATCCTCACCTTCTTCTTCTACCCTCATCCTATTATCATTATGCGTCTCAGTCGACATGTTATTATTATGAGAGAAATGAAGATCCTCTCCTCCTCCTCCTCCTCCTTCTCCTCCTCCTTCTCCATCATCATCAATGCCATCACCCTTCTGTCTTCTACCAATAGATGTGAATCTATCCAACACGAATCATCAAGACCTCCGTTAACTACTACTACTACCCCTCGAAGACACCATCATGATGATTACGATCATACTCCTGGGATCTCCAGGGTCCTGTTGTTGTCGACCTCTTGTTGTGTATAATAACCCTGAGTGCTCTTGATGATATCCTATCCCCTATTAGTAATACTTCCAACCTGCTCCTTCTTGAACGCCTCCGCTCTGTATCATCGTCATCATCATCATCATTACCTTGGTTTATGGTAGTAAAGTAATGACTTGGTGTTGGTGGTGGTGTTGGAGTTATATTAGCTGCAATATTGTTGTTGTTGTTGCCTCCAGTAGGAATAGTTCTCCTTTTTAATAATAGATCATATTCCATTCTCTCAATTGGATCAGTAAGTACTCTATAACTCTCTTGTATACGATGGAACCATGCATGACACCTACATCACGCTACTACTACTAATACTATTATAATCATTCCTACCTTTTAATCTCATCAATAGTCCTATGACCATTCTTATCAGGATGCCATAATCGTGCTAGATCCCTGAATGATGCTTTTATATCATTATCACTTGCATAATGTGGTAGCCTTAGAATAGTATAATGATCACATTTATCCAATCTA